AGTTTATCAGTAGGTTGTAGGAGTAATATGGTCCCCTCTGGTTTTCAAAACTAGCTAGGCATTGTTTATCTCTTGCATTGTCTTACCCCTCCATCATGGTTTTCCCACTTAAGGTGCCCCCATTGCCCCCCTTAAGGTGCCCCTTAATAATACCCTCCTCCTATGGTCCTACCTCTCTTGAGCTCCTTCTTTCCCATTATCCCCTAGGTTCCTTGTATACCTTTCCCTCCCCCCTCCCTTAAACTAACCCAATTGTTATCCATATCTCCCTTATTAAGGCCTGTTTCCTACTGTTCTCTTTCAGGTTCTTTCTTTTCCTTTACCTCCCTGTTTCCTTTCCATTATCCTGGTTCCTGTAGTTATGTCTGGTTGCATACTTATCAGAGTCTGGTTCTAGGATCCACATATGAGGGAGAACATATGTCGATTTTTTTTGCTTCTGAGTCTGTGTTACTTCACTTAGGATAACAGTTTCGAGTTCCATCCATTTACCTGCAAATTTCATGATTTCATCTTTCTTTATTGCTGAGTAAAACTCCATTGTATAAATGAATCACATTTTCATTTTCCACTTGTCAATTGAGGGATATTTAGGTTGCTTCCATCTCTTAGCTATTGTGAAAAGAGCAGCAGCAAACACGGACGTACAGGTGTCTCTGCAATAGGATGAGTTCTTTGGGTATATGCCAAGGAGTGGTATAACTGGGTCAAATGGTAGGTTCATTTGTAGTTTTTTAAGAGTTCTCCACACTGCTTTCCATACGGGCTGAACAAGTTTGCAGCCCCACCAGCAGTAGATGAGTGTTCCCCACATCCACTCCAACATTTGGTATCATTTGTTCTCTTGATCTTAGCCAGTCTGCCTGGTGTAAGATGAAATCTTAAAGTGGTTTTAATTTATATTTCCCTAATTATTACTGATGTTGAACATCTTTTAAGATGTTTCATAGCCATCTTCGTTTTGATTCTCTGTTTTCTGAGTTCGTTATATATTCTCGATATTAAACCTTTGTTGGATGTGTCACTGGTAAAGATTTTCTCCCATGTGGGTTTTCTGTTTGCTTCCCTGGTTTCCTCCTTTGATGTACAGAAGCTTTTTAGTTTAATGAGGTCCCATTTGTAAATTCTTGCCCTTATTTCCTGAGCAATTGAGGTCCAGTTTAGGAAATCCTTTCCTACACCTGTATCTTGCAGGTTATTGCCAATGTTTTCTTCTAACAGAGTTTCAGAGTTTCAGGCTTTACATTGAGGTCTTTGATCTATTTGGAATTGACTTTTGTGCAAGGTGAAAGGTGTTTAGTTTCATTCTTCTACATGTTGAGATCCAGTTTTGCCAGCACCATTTGCTGAACATGCTGTCTTTCCTCCAGTGAATATTCTTGGCCCCTT